ATCTCTTATCTCTTATCATCACGTGACTTGTCCATAGTTCTTCCGTTCCGTGAGAGGGTGCCTAGTGTTCCTTGTCCTCTGCATACATGGTGCGCTGTAGCCACCGCGAACCTGCGGGGCAGAGCCTGCGGGGCAGACCTTGTTCTTGGTCATGCATGTTGGGTCGTAACATGTAGTTGTATTTACCGCCTTTATGGGGAAGTACTAGGTCTTTCAACTAATTAAAATCGTGAACGCGGACGCCGCTGTAAGGTGGACGCCGCTGTATCAATTCCGGACGCCGCTCTATCAATTCCCTATTAGTATTCGTATTTTGCCTATATATATGGTGCGCTATAGCCGCCGTGACCTGCGGGGCAGGCCTGAACTTGTGTTACGCCCGCCGCAACTTGTCACTGTGGGCGCGTAGCTATATAATGCAGAACAAGGTAAAATGATGCGGAGTCATCATTATCGAAGCTTTTGCTTTGTGCCACAGTTGGTTGCCTTGTCCTGCTCGTAACAACTTGGTCATGTATGTTAGGTCGTAACAAAGGAGTAAAGGGAAAGGATTACTATAATAGACCCGATATTAAAGAATCGATAGTAATAATACTGTATAGAGCTCGCGTACAACCCCTATATTACTAGGATCTAATAGATAAGGATATTACGGCTTTTAATAAAAGGCTTAACTAGCAAGCCAATTGCCATAGTTAATAGAAGATTAACCTACTAACTATACCTCAAAATTAATATTAGCACGACTAACTATATATATTTTTAACGGGTCATTTATAAACAATACGGACCTAACCCTACAATTAGGTTATATTATTATACTAGCTAACGAGATGTTACGCCCGCCGCAACTTGTCACTGTGGGCGCGTAGCTATATAATGCAGAACAAGGTAAAATGATGACCGGAGTCATCATTATCGAAGCTTTTGCTTTGTGCCACAGTTGGTTGCCTTGTCCAGCTCGTAACACAATGATGACTCCACCCTGCGTAGAGGGGTTGTGGGTTCGATTCCCGCACGCTGCGTCGATAGTGTGATTGTGCCTCCCACACTATGAAGGGCGTCCCGACCGTAGGCAGCACGTGTAGGACTGGTTACCCCGCACCTATGCTGGAGTTTCCCTGCTTATACCCGAAATGTCCGATTGGTCCTCGGCATAGGGACATGCCTCTTGGAGGGGAGATGTGGTGTTACGCCCGCCGCAACTTGTCACTGTGGGCGCGTAGCTATATATGCAGAACAAGGGACAATGATGACCGGAGTCATCATTATCGAAGCTTTTGCTTTGTGCCACAGTTGGTTGCCTTGTCCAGCTCGTAACACGAGACTATAATAAAGAATAGTTTTTCCATCTATAGTAGTATAATGTTACGGCCAGCTAGTCGTAGGGGTAGTTTGCAGAAGTTGAGGCTGCGGAACTGGTAACAGTAATCGTAGTCGTGGAATAGTTTCAAGGAAACTATGTCTGTCAATCGTAAGGGTGGGTAAGGCTTCGGTGATCAGTCGTAGTCTTGTCAAGGTAGTAGCTGAAAGCGGATGTTAATCCTGATACGAAGTTAATTGCTGAAGAAGCTATGGGAAGTCTGTCCTAGAGTCCGGCTCAAGTCCATCCTATATACAAGTCCTGATTCTGAACATGTCCTTTGTGCTGGACAGTGTCCTTGTTTGGATATGTTGGATAGCTCATATCCTGGTTATCCAAGGATCGCTGATGATGATGATGATGATGTATTTAACGTCTGGTAACAAAAGGACGTGCCGGGAGCTATGCCGACATGGTCTATACTAATCTAAACTATATTACAGGCTACCGTCTTCACCTAACGTTCCTGTTCAATGACTCGGGCAAATTTCGGAAAAGAAATTGGTCTCCTCTATCCATTCGTATAGAAGAGAGGCTCCCTTAGCAGAACCTAACAAGAAATCAATGCTTGCTTTGGCCATACGTTGGCGGAGGTAGCGCGGTGTAGCCTTGCGTCCACGCTTGCAGAAGTAGAAATGGACTGGTGTCTTGGGTTTCCCACAGCTGCAGTTGAGCAACGCATCTTGATGAGCGAATCTCTCGTGGTATGCTGCAAAGTCTCCATGATGGGATCTTGCTGCGTATAGCCTTCCTAGTAAGTGCCGAGGGAGGCGGAGTTCGGGCGGCTTGGGGTGAAGAATTATCTCGAGGTCGGCATATTGCCGAGGGCATTGGGACAGCCATTTTCTGGCAAAGGCTTGGAAGGCAGCTACTTTAGCTTGCCTTTCTAGGTGCGCTAATGAGGGCTGTGGTTGTGATTTTGGGAAGACGAGAAGCACAGCTTTGAAGGGAGTAATGAACAACAGTATCAGTATGCTTTGCCTCCTCAATGGCAGCCAGAATTGCCAGTAGAAGGGCATGGCTTGTATGAAATTCATGCCACCAGCATGACTGTCAGATACGAGATGTCCTCCCATCCAGGTATGGGCCACGCAGGAGATGGAGATAACAGACCAAAAGCGTTCACAGATAATGCACGATGAGTGTTAGAGCTTCTCGGAAGAGGCACTAATCGCATTTGGTTGGTAATAGTACAAAGGGTATCCGCAACTCCTCTCTCCACAGACCTTCTGGAGCAGTGCCTTCTCTACTTGGCCTGCTCGGTGACCGTGGCAACACGTAATGTTACAGGGACAGAAGTCCAGTAGTCATGTTCCGCGTGAAACCTTCTTCCCATGGTCTCCCGCTTGCCGTCAGGAAAGATCCTCTGTATGCTGAGTAGAATGTCTCTGCGTGGCTCTTCTGGCATCTCGATCCAAAGCTTGTGTATTCTGGGCGGCCCCGGCAGAATTGGAATCACAAAATACGGGGACGCCCTTTTCTCGTCGACGTCTCCTTCGTAGAGACCCCGTTCCTCGAGAACCATCACTTCTTTTGCTATGCGCGCTGATAATATCGCATCCCAGATTCCTTCTTGCTGTTGAGAAGCTAGAAGAAGCTCCAAAGCCTGTCGTCGTATCCTGGGCACGCGACACTTGACGGCTGTGAAGAACAATGGTGGAACCAAACCGGTGTCTGAGGCGTGCTCAGTTTGATGCATGCAATCTTCTGGGGATGATTCAGCAGCAGGCGTCGGCATGGGTGCTGATGATGTCGACTCAAGGATTTGCCTTGCCGAAGCTACAACTGACGCAAAGTGACTCGTGTAAAGGTCAAAGATGAGCTCGTTCCCAGGGTTGAGGGAAGTGTTGGTGATGATGTATGCCATGGTATGGTAAATCGGAAGCGGCCCGTAGGCGACCCTCTCTCGGTCTGTTACGAAGTTCCATTTTCTGGCTTTGAGGACTTCAAAAGCTTGAATCCAGGATTCTAGCTCATTCCGAAGCGTTTGCTGAGTAGCAAGCAGCTCAAAAATATCGGCTGCATCCTCAGCTGGTCCAGCTGCGGCACCGTCCTTCTGCAATTGGTACGCTCTGAACAAGAGGCCGTCGAGGCTTTGGCTAGCGTCTCGAACTGATTGAAAGAGCTGTGGCAATGGCGGCCATATTGAGGAGGTGTGCTTCGTGCCGGCCCCTTGGTAGAACTCGTTTGTAAGGAGAGTCGCCTGGATATCGAGTCGAGGTATGATGTCGGTAAACCAGTCGTCTGCTGGGTCGGATGATGATGTCGGAGCAGTAGATTTCAGTAAGCTGCCTAGCAGCTGGCGGCTGTGTCTGAAGTGAAGGAAGCCCGTCTTGTATCGCTTCTGCATGAACTCCATACATATGTAAACCGTGCAGACAACCAAGACGACGCGTATTGATTCAGTGCTTGGTGTGCGCAGATGCCTCTGAAGATGGTAAATGGACTTATTATAGTATTGCAAGCTGAGATGTTCCTGTTGATCCGCTGTGTCGGGACTTGATGGCTCGCGTTTGACGATGCACGCGTCAGTATTTGTTGTCTCATGAGCGGCACCCAGCGCGAGAACGGCATAAAGAATAGCTGGCTCGGTTGAGCTAGCCTGAAGCACCAAGGTCTTCCAGAATGGCGAGTTGAAGACGCCAGGCAGTTGGTTCGTGGTCCGGCTCACGAACCATTCGAAATGAAGTTTGTCTATGAAGCTCAGTTCCGCTAAGCCAGCATGCGTGTCACAACGCGATGGAGATATTGATGAGGTTTTGAGGAGTGACAGTGAGGGTCTGCGGGCCGCTGAGCCGCCCCCCTCACCGTCGTAGCCATCGCAGACCTTGCCTGTGATGCTGCACCGTCGACAAGCTGGTCTCGTCTCGTCACACTTGACTCTGTGAATCCTAAAGATCAGGTCAGCATGAGGCCCTTTTATATCGTCCTATGTGGCATCGCGACGGAATGTTCGGACTCACCTGCAAGGTGTGCAGCCCTTCTTAGCTTGGACGGATGGCCGTGACTTGGATCCGGAGGTACCGGGTGGAGAACGGCCACAGCTCATGGCAACGAACTCTAACGAGACCTTACAGTCCGCCGGACACGCCGGGCTCTAACAATGGGGATTTCGGAGACGCGGCAAGGGCGCGCGGCGCGGGATATCGAATGCGAGCTGTTGCTATATTTTTGCCGGCAGAATGGGGGAGTGTGGAGCTGAGCGACACCTTGGCCGGTCCCTTTCAACTCGACTCGACCTAGAGGTGTTGTGAATCGAGGAGAAGAGGGGCTGACGTCAAAGGAGGTATGCGATGGCTTAAACTAACTTTCTAAGAAACCAGTAGTCGGTTACCATTTACCTATGCTGATTGGCGGTCGCCGGAGGAGTTTCATCGTCCCCCGTTCTGGTTGACGGCCAGGGTCAAAGTGTAATCTCGCCAGAGGGCTGAGCTTTCGGTGAGCTGACCGAGTCATGGCCTGATTGTGGTTGAAGCTCGACGCCTCACCGCCTGCAAGCTGCATGGGCCTCGTATATCGCAGGCCGCGTACTGATGAAGGATATGGTCGCTTGACAGTCCAAGTATCTTCCTTGGTGACTGCGAATAGAATCACTGGCAACGGCTGATGATCCGACCCTCCTCGGGCTGTTAGAAGAGTCACGTTTATTTCGCTAGCAGGCTATGGTACCGTGCTTTGCTACTAGTACACGATAATATGCGAGAGCCCGTGCAAATAACTCTTCTTGCTCTCTGGCTTGCATACTCACGCTCAAAACCTTCCGAGATTCAATCAAACTAGCCCGCGTAAGTTCCAACGCGCGGCCCAAAGTACTCACCCTTGGGCAGCTTGAGAAGCGTGCAGGCGGTAGATTCGCATCCACTCTCCGAGTCATTGCCCCACCAGTTGATCTCGAATCCGTGGTAGCTAACGGCAAAGAAGATAATGACACCAGCAATGGCGATAGCAGTCGAGAAAGCCGCCGACAAGACGTAATTATACTTTGACCAGAACGCAAGCTAGCGCTGAGGGAGATACACCATGCTCAGCCAGCCAGGCAGAACGGCCGGCCACATGTAAGCAATGTTGTACTAGACTTGATGTTAGCCACCGAAACGACCAGGGACCAGCCAGGAGAAAAGCTTACGGGGGACCAGCTAATACCACCGCTGAGAATCATCACAAGGTGAATCTTGGCGAACCAGTGGGTGCGAGGGAGTTTGCGCTGGAAATAGTAGAACATGAACGGAAGCGCAAATCCGACCGGAAAAGCTGAGAGCAGGGCCGTGTAGATTCCGCCAGAGCCAAAGACCTTGCTGGCACCCAGACTACCGAAAAGTACTGCAGCGGTGAAGTAGGTATTTACACCTGGGCAAGTAAAGCGGTCCTTTTGGCTCCTATAGGTGCGTATGCACATTAGCCGTCCGATTGAGGCAGAAACAAGTATAGGGGGTAAACTCACGTTGAGCAGAGATCAGGATTGTTGCTGATTTGGAAGTTCATAACGCCAGTGCAGACAAAAGCTGAGACAAAGACAGCAACAACCTGAGCGGCGAATGTGTGTCTCTGCGGGATCTTGAGATAATGAGCCAGCTTCAAGTCGTTGACGAAGTCAAGAGCATGAGCCGTGGTGACATAACTGCGAGTCTCGTAAGTTGATAGGCACTTACGAAGGTTAGTGGAACCAATAGTAGATCAGTCACTTACCCGAAGCACTTGAAAAAGTTCATGGCCAAAGCATTGCCTGGCTCCCAAGCACCACCAATGAATTCGGCAAGGACGCTGAAGATCGTCAGCTTGAAACATACCGCGAAAGTGCAAACATGAGTTTGCTTACTTGAACTCAACTTCCATGCCAGTGGTGGCAAAGATGATGCCCGTTGGAATAACGAAAACCAGGGCAAGTGCGATATCAAAGAAAACGACGCCGACGTTCGTCTGGAAAAAGGGTTAGTCGCCTATCGTCAACCAAGGTAGCTACGACCAGCCACGGCGAAAGGGATTGATTCAACTAACCTCGGTTGACCATGCAGCAACAGCCGAAAGCAATGGCAGCCAAGTTAAGAATCAGATACCACCATTCGGGAACTAGGAGTGGTGTCAGTATTATTGTGGCTTTGACATGAGCTTTAGACATACCTTCGGGGTAGTTGGACATGAGTCTCGTATGGACATCCTTGAAATCGGTCGACGCCTCTTTCTTGAAACTGCGCCACAAACTTCGGAATCCAAGCGCAATATCATGGCGATGATAGAGGATAGCGTAAGAAACTGTAGCGGCATAAACGGCGAAGAAGTAGTAGTACATGGTGATACTACTAGCTGCGAGATATACGGGGGAGTATGCCTGGTCAGCGCTACCGCAAGTGCAATCATTTGTCAACGCATACAAGTCAACCCAAGCAAGGGGAGGCCATCGCCATACCTAATTCAGCAAATTAACACCCCTCGATTGACTTAAATACTTTGATTGATTCAGATATTTATAGATTTGGCTAATGAGAGGCTGCAGATCTGCTGCCGCCCTATTTATTTTCTTATCGAGTGGTATGCCTAGCTATTGAAATATGCCTCTATCGCTAGTTAACCTTATTATAATTATATATCTTGATATAACTAGCTGAAAGCGGATGTTAATCCTGATACGAAGTTAATTGCTGAAGAAGCTATGGGAAGTCTGTCCTAGAGTCCGGCTCAAGTCCATCCTATATACAAGTCCTGATTCTGAACATGTCCTTTGTGCTGGACAGTGTCCTTGTTTGGATATGTTGGATAGCTCATATCCTGGTTATCCAAGGATCGCTTGGATAGCTCATATCCAACATATCCTTATCCTTATCTCTTATCTCTTATCATCACGTGACTTGTCCATAGTTCTTCCGTTCCGTGAGAGGGTGCCTAGTGTTCCTTGTCCTCTGCATACATGGTGCGCTGTAGCCGCCGCGAGCCTGCGGGGCAGACCTTGTTCTTGGTCATGCATGTTGGGTCGTAACACTAACCTATGTAATTAATACTATAATATTTCACTACTAACTATTACGGATAGTATATATAGACGGAAGGGATAGATAGACTATTTAGGGGCGGTATAGGAATGGATTGTTAAAAGGATAGGTTATACGGAGGACGTTAAAGGGATTACTAGACCACGGCCGGAAGTAAAATAACCCCTTCCAATAACTACCGGATTTTAATTTGAATTATTAAACTCCTCGGATTTAATTAATTTAGCCTAGGGATAGTTAATCCTATTATTATATAATAGATATTACTTACGGTGGCTAGCCTTGGTAGCCTGAGGGGCGGTATGGGACTATGGATACCTGAGGCAGTGGCTGGTACCCCAGGCACCAGCTACCTGATCCACCTCCTGGTTGATCCAGCCCACCGTAGCCACCTTCACCACAACATCACCAACCAACCGTCAATACCAGTCGTATTGCCTCATTGCTTGCCTCGTTGGTCCAGATGAGCAGTGTGTACTGCCCACAACACCTTTATCGGCAATGGAAGTCGTTGGTATAATTGCCCCTGGTCTTCGCCTGATGCTTGTGTCTAGAGTTCGCCAGTTTCTTCTGCATGGGCAAGCATGAATTTGCTGTTCAGTTTCCACAACATTCCACGTGAAGAGACACCACCTCGCTAGAATCCCTCATCGCGGGCTGTGATAATGTAGACGTGCTTCCTTTATACTGATTTGTGCACAGGAGAAATCGGTGTCCTTCTATTATCTGAAGATATCGATTGAGATCGCGGACTTGCCGTGTTAATGAATAGCTGGCGGATGTTTTGCATATGCCTGAAAACCTTAATAAAGTGTGAAATCCACCAGAACCGTGCACGCAACCGGTCCCGCGTATTAAACTAGAGACTGCACAGACTCATATCACTGAGTCAAGAAACTTTCCTAGGGAATTATGTGTTTAAGAAATTGTCGCAAAAACGACGCCGTTAATTGCGGGCAGCAATTAACGCCATATATACCCTACGACAGAAATAAAAAGGGGGAAGTTTGTATCGTGATAAAAAGCCAGTGATGTGCCAGAAATCCATTGAGTTCTGACTTGACCTAACTTTGGCAACGGCCCAACACAACTGCACCAGCGACAGAATTGGGATTATACCAAATCTCTCAATTAAACATCAACACTCGACCTCTTTCGTCGCCATGAAATTCATTACTGCAATCTCCTTTCTCTTCGCTGCGGTCGTATCCGCCCAGTCCTGCGTCGGTGACGAGCTGCAGGTTTGTGTAGGTAACAAGATCAAGTTCTGCAACCTCGCGAGGAACAACGTTTTCGATGTAAGCATTCTCGCACAAATTGTCATCAACTTCGTGCTCATTTTTTCATAGTTTATGGACTGCGGCAGTCAAAAGTGCCACAATGTTGCTGGAGGAGCAAACTGTCAATAATTTGGTTCATGGCACTTTGTGTGGAGAGGGAAATTTTGGATGGAATGTTGGCCTCACGCGTAGACTTTTTGAGAATAAAGCCAATCAAATGAGCTCAGCTCTGATCTAGTCATGTCATGAAACACTGGAACTTTCGCGAATTATGTGAATGCCCAACTGTGGGCAGTACACACTGCACATCTGGACCAACGAGGCAAGCAATGAGGCAATACGACTGGTATTGACGGTTGGTTGGTGATGTTGTGGTGAAGGTGGCTGCGGTGGGCTGGATCAACCAGGAGGTGGATCAGGCAGCTGGTGCCTGGGGCACCAGCCACTGCCTCAGGTATCCACAGTCCCACACCAACTGTCATCGGTGATCCGGGCAGAGCCTCTATGTAAGCCGCTACTGGATGCACAGAAAGGCGCTCACAAATCATGAGTAACTATTGAATCGTTTCACAACTAGGGTTCCTGTAAAGTCATATGCAAACAGAAAGGCGGCAATGGTTAAGCCGGTGTTCTCACTTCGGGTAATCTTGCGATTGACCTGCAGAGTGTAATTTGACAAGTCTAGAGAATGAACCAAGTTATTCCCTGACTACGGACAGCTAGGATCTTCCAGGCCTGGCTCAAGACTGTGCCAGGTCAGCATACAGTCGTATACTCAGACGGCTCCAAAGCTCCTGACGGGGCTACAGGGTTCGGCTTTGTTATCTACCGCAACAATAAACGTATAGCCCAGGGCTGCGGCCGTCTCGGCTTAGCAGAAGTGTTTGATGGTGAGGCGGAGGGGGCGAGGGCTGGGCTCCGACGGGCCCTTCAGACCTCCCAAGGCCAGCCTATACGCATCTGCATCGACAATACCAGCGTTATTCAGGGGATTCGCGGTAAGGTCCCAGACTCCTCATAAGCGGCCTTCCTTGAGATCCAGGAGGTAGCTAGGATACACGATATACAAACCCATTGGTCTCCTGGGCACCAAGGTATTAAAGGAAACGAAGAAGCAGACAGCCTAGCTAAGGAGGGAACAACTCTACCAGTCCTTAAAGGCCAACTAGCTACTCTATCAGGTATCAAGTGGCTTGCTAAAGAGCGGCCAAGACGCCAATATAGACGATGGTGGAAACAAGAGGCAACTCCCCGCTATACCCAACTAGGGCTCAAGGCTACCCTTGCTTGCCCTCCTGAACTTGGCCTCCCTAGGGCTGCCCTTCATCACCTCCTCGCGGCACGGTCAGGCCACGGGGACTTTAAACAATATCACCAACGCTTTAACCACACAGAAGCACTACTCACCTGCTCCTGTGGATGGGTTAAGGAGGCAGACCATCTAGTCTACTGCCGAAAGACCCTACTGAGGAGGCAACAGTGGCCCACCCTCTACCCCTACAGCCGCCAGGAGCCCGTAGGACCTATAGGGTCCCTCGATCGCTACTTCAAGGGGCTAATCACTGACTCTGAAGGCTTCCAGGCCTTCCTCTGCGTGACAGACTTCTTCCAGAAGATCTGCCCGCGGTACTAGGAGATAGGTCATAACCTATCCTCCAAACGACAAACTACCTCTATTAAGAAACCAGATGGTTATAACGGAACTAGGGCACCAGTGGGAACTAGGGATGGATAGAACACATAGTAGCTCACGAGCAAGATTTGGAGGACGTCAGGATACGGCGTGTACTATATAGTATATAGCTAGAGCCTGCGACCCTTCACGCCACATACCCTCCGGGAGGTCTGCCGCAAGGGCGGCTGCGCCCTTGCCGCCATGGCGTTAAATAGAACAACAACAAATCCCTGACTACGGAACATCGCCCTCAAATAGGATATTATATCTTGGCATTTGTCTGAATCCAGGTTCGACTGCCTCGTATAAAATCTTTCGCTTCCTCTCACCACTTGCCACAATTAATTTCCCCCCAAGCTCATCTTGGAACTAATCTTGGTACCGTTATTCGGCAGTTTGGCCCTCAGCAACGAAATGGGTCTGTCCCAGGATAGACTGCAGGGCCGAATACTAGCTGGTTGTTGGTGAAGTAGATGTACCCATCCGTGGCCACAGAGAACTTTACTCTCTGTCAGTTCAAGACATCAATGACGAGGTTTAGAAACAGGTGGAACCTACTGTGTCAGCCCAGTTGATTCTTGGATCTCGCAGGAATACCTGATCGGTCCCGTTCTCAGGGTTGAAGAAGTTGACTGCGTTGTGCTCGAAATTTCCATGGTAGATGAACCCGTTCGTGTCCGTCTCGAAGCCATCAGAAAGTCCCTTTTGACTCTCCGTCACAACAGCCGCCTGAGCCCGAATCTGAGACATTGGACCATTGTCTCGTAGACGTTCCGTGGGAACGCTGTACAGGTATCTGTTGCCGACGCCGCCAAAATACAACGTCTTGCCATCCTTTCCGAGAGCGACACCATCAGCACCAAAGGTCAGATGACCGGCTCGGTTGCCGGCCTGATTCGCGTAGAGCTCCCGGACCCAGACAAATGCGAGGAACTGCCGGTCGCCCTGCACGTAGGGACTTCCGTCGAGGTGTCTCCGCGATTCACCAGATCCGAGATCGACCACGATCAAACCTGTCCTGCCCTCGCTCGAAGAATCAGTGATGTACGCAACACCCTCACCACTGCTGGTCAAATTAGGATCCAGGTCAAATCGAACGTCGTTCAGGTATATGTCGGGGTATGCGACGGTGTTGGGAAAGACAATGGTCTTGATGACTGAATTTGTTGTCAGATTGACGCCGATCAGCTTTGCGCCGCCAACGCTCGCAGGAACGAGGACCCCTTGTGGTGTCAAGACTCTTCCAGTGTCCAAAATCCAAAGACGGTCCGCACTGTCAATGACCACGCTCTGTACACCGATTAGGTAGTCCTTGTAATTCGCGACCGTCGGTGGAGTGGTAGTGAAGTTGATTGCGCCGCCAGGTGGACTATTGAACTCGACGCTTGGGTATGGCTTCTCGATATTGTTCTCAAAGAGCTCGGCTACCGTGTACTTGCCATTGGTCCCTTGTGTTATTTGGGTCTAGGCCGCCGGGATAGTTTGAGAACTTTCGTCCAGTTGACGATACGACAACGCTTGTTCAAGCAGATGAGCTCATGCGCGCTCCATTGTTTACACGAAAGATTACCTGTAGGCCACTGGTCATGATACAAATGCATTACTTCAAGGGACGGACCACTCCGTCCAGAGTCAAAAATGAGGTTCTGTGCCTTGGCTGGATAAAAGCCAGCTAGAGCTGCAATCGATGCCCACTTGATAGAAACCATGACTGGTGAAGGTTTGAATGGGGGTTATTGATATTCTCAAGTGAAAGCTCCGACAATGCAATGCCTCCCACAGCAGAAGATCAAAGTGACCATTGCTTATATGCCCTGCCTCATCTCGGAGCATTCGTGCTGTTCTCGACCCATGACGCATGCATCCACATCTGTTCACATCACCTTGCCGATTGAACAGCGCCCAAATTCGGCGTGAGTGGTCAATTCCCTCATTCCTCAACTCGCAATTCTTCAAGAAATGTTTCGCAAGCGGACACTCGCTCAATTGCCTCTATTTGGTCGCTAAGTACTACTGCCGCGGCACTAATTGTTGGCGCTACCACTCCATGAGCTCATACTGCGGGGAAGCCATGAACTCAGTGCCTTGACTTGGCGGGCGAAGAGGGTGTCCTCGCAGGTGCTGTTAAAGAATGGCAGTTAGAGATTGTGTTTGCTGTTCGCTTCATGAATTATGACGAGAAAGGGTCGTCCGCAAAACTAAGGGGAAAAGTAAGAAGGGAATCCCAAGCCACTGTTGAATCGATGTTTTTACAATGTGTTGCCGAGGCCATCATCGCACACCAGACGTCCTTGAACGGGACTGCACTGAGCACCATCAAGTACAACTCTGCCTGCGCTGTTATCCTTTGCCGGAACGCTTTTTGCCGGTGCAGCAATGGCAGATGTCACTATGGTGCTGAGAGCGACGATGATGAGAGAGAACTTCATCTTGTTCGGAAAGCCTCAAAGTTCGCTTAGTTGAATGATAAGTCTGGCCAGCCAGGAATGATTAAAAGTCTCTGTTGATGAAATGAAAAGCCCGCTTGCAGGTAGTGACAAGATAAAGTCTTGACCATGAACGATTCATCGCGCATTTAATATGACTTTGGGCAATTCAAGCTTAAAAGGGGTGGTCAACTATTTTGGTCGAGATGAGACGATGTCAGGGTACAGTTGAGACGAACACCCAGTCATATCACACTCGGCTGTCGATACGAGCACCTCGCAAGTATCAAACCTCCCCCTTGTGTTCCACAGTCAACCAACAACATTGTTCCACATTACCCCACACGCTTCAGGAGTAATGTTTCGGCCTGGAGATTTCCTACTTGAGGAAGTGAAGCACCAAATTCTTGTATCCCTCTATGCTCTCGATCAACTCCGGGACGCGGATGAACTCGTCGGGCCCGTGGGCTACCAGGATTGACCCTGGCCCGTACAGCACCCTATTGTCACAGTACTCCGCCTTGAGTCGAGGCACGTCGGTCCCGAAAGCCACGGGAGCCGCTTCAAAGCCGTCAATCTCCCATTGCAGTAGCGCTTCAGGGTACTCAAAAACAAACTTCAGCTCCGCGTCGGGGTGTCGTGAAACGATCTCTGCAACCTTGGTCTTGATGCCGGGCAGGTTGGAAACCATGCGGACCTCGCACAGTGCCTTAGCAGACGGGGCGACAATATTGTGTTTTTCGCCTCCTTCGATAGTTCCAATGTTGAAGGTAGAGGGGCCGAGGAGTTCGGACTCCGGCCAGGTTGCTGCAGAGAGGTCATTCAACACCGCGAGCAGGGCAGAAGTTGCACTTTTCCCAAGATGAGGGTATCCTGAATGACTGGATCTTGGCATTAGCACGGTTTTTGAAGCCTTCCAATCTCTTTATAGGCAGTTGAGAGAGTGGACTTACCAAGCGATGCCGTTGGCGATGACTTCAAACGCTACCTGCCCCTTATGGCCCTTTGCAAGTTTGCTCTCCGTCGGTTCGGCAAAAATGCCAGACTCCCACTTTAAGCCCATGTCATTTGCAGCGATCATTCCGTGACCGCCGTTCTCTTCACCGACCACAAACAATAAGGCAATATCTCCCTCCTTCTGCACCTTGCCTTCCTTTCTTAGTTCCTCTGCAGCTAGGATCTGGGCTGCCAACGGGCCAAGGTCATCAGACGAGCCTCTTCCCCGGATGATATCCCCGTCGATAGTCAGAGGGATGTGCGGCGGTACTGTGTCCATATGAGCTGTGAGGAGCACACGTGTCTTGCGTGAAGAGCCAAGGTATGCGTAGACATTGTGGCGAGATGAGTTTGGCGAAATGGGTATGCGCTCGACGGTATAGCCTAGGGAATGAAGATGTTGTTCTAGGAAGACACCGATGATTTCTTCAAGTTCGCTGGTGCTGACGATTGACATGAGCGACTTCAACAAGTCAACTACAGGGTGTTCCATGATTGCAGACGCCATAGCTTCCAATCGGCTCCAAGTCTGGATATGTGGAATAGTATTACTGAGCATAAACTGAAAAGCTGCGATGATTGTGTCTGGGGTGGCCCCCCTCTTCGTCAAAACAAGCAAAGAGTGCCCAGTTAAGGGTGACTTAGCCAACCGTGCATTAACGCTCCAAATGGTGAGTCACGACCAACCAACGAGCGAATGTGGATCTGTTGGCGGGAACCTTTGTCGGGCAGTGGACATTCGGGCCAACATCCGACTGCTCGGGATAAACTCCGTGTTAGTTTCGGGGTGCATGATGTGAATTCTGTCCTTTTTGATTTAGTGAGTCGGAGTAAGAATTGCGACATATATCATCTTTCCAGATGTCGGGTGTTTTATCGATGATAATAGAGTGAGTACACATAGGTACAACAAACAAGTGCCCGCTCAACGACCTTGGCTAGCCCAGCACGACCGCAACCGGCGGACTTGGAGCCTCCCCAGTCAGTTCACTTCAGGAATTATACCAAAACTAAGAAAAGAAATCTTAAAAAGAAGCTCATTTTCCAGAGAATTCTAATCGTGTTCACTCAGAAAAGAGTCGATGACTATTTGACCTAAGCCGTGAGGGGCCTCGTTGGTGATCAGTCAAGTGCTGAGTCTGGCAAAATCCGTGCCTGCTGCAACACCCAGACAGGGAAGAGGCGGAACGCGATAAACGTCAGGCTAGTTTGAGTTCATTCTAGGCTTGGGTAACTTTTTGGATGTTATTTGAACCAATCTTTTTCAATGTTCTAGGCGTAACGCGAGCCGTCATGGCACACCTGTCAAGTTGGGGTGTTGACGCAGGGTGGAAGCTCTCAGAGGCCAACTGCAGTTAGGGGTAGAATGATGAATTACTGAAATTTGCTCCTCCCCCGACGTGTACTCCCTGCGCTGTATATATATCTGAGCTGCTCCTTTGTTGCTTGGACTCCTTACTACCTCTAAGTAGCCCCTATCCGGGAGGGCTCTGACAACACCCTATTTCAGAGGATAAAATCCTAGTTGCACCATTATTATTTCGTGGAGCACTGCTGTCCTATCACCTTCGTGCAGCCTGAAGCTCCGACTTCCCGAGTAGCTTAGGCAATGGAGTAGAATTGTTTTCCTGATTAATATTTCCCAAGCCAGTGGAATCCTTCTTAATCTCCCCCTGGTGTAGATTCCCAATCAAGGCCAAGGAAATCTCGCCGAGCTCTGCTGATGTCAGATCAAATGTCTCCGACAGGTTAGCGCGGCATTGAGTATCTCTGAGAGTCTTGCAAAAAGGACCAACGTGTCAATCTGATAAGAAGCTGTGCCATTCTTTTCTGTGATGTCGGAAATTGTGCCTGGGAAATATTTCAGTCGGAACGACATCTCCAGGGTTTCTTTTCGGCATCACAAAAGACCTTGCTCTACCACAGATGGCGGACAACTCCTCGAAGCCCGTGGGACGCCACGTCGGCGTTGTCGGCACAGGTGCTTTAGGACTTCTGGCAATAAAGAACCTCAAAGAGCAAGGGCTAGAAGTGACCGCTTTCGAGCAGCATGACCATCTTGGTGGGCTGTGGCACTTCTCACCCAGGCCAGATCAAGTCACAGCACTTCCAATGACGTCTTTCAACACCTCGAAGCAGATGGTGAGCAGGTGTTAGAATCCACCTATTGTGAGATCATGAGATGTGCTAATAATGCCAACACTAGGCGCACATCACAGACTTTCCTTTCGCAGATGGTACAATACCTCACCTACGCGGTAAGGCATACATATGGCTAACGTCGCCGTTGGGTTTTAGACGATGCAACACACCCGACTGCGAAAAGTATTGAACGATACCTCGAAGCTTACGCAAAGGAATTCGATCTTCTCCCTCATATCAAGTTTTCCACCAAAGTCGAAAGAGTAGAACGAGACAACGTCAACGGAAAATGGGTTATACACACCGAGACCACAGTCCCAGAGACTGAAATTGTCATGCAAAGGCACGTCTTCGACCGAGTTGTTTTGGCCACTGGAATAGTCAACACTCCAATGATGCCACACATTCAAGGCATTGAAAGATTCGAGGGAGAGGCCAAACACTCGATTGAATTCAAGGACCCGTACAGATACTCAGGCAAAAATGTTTTGCTTATTGGACTCGGGGCTACCAGCGCTGACACACAGTCCTTCCTGAAGAAGGCAAATGCTCGCTCAATCACAATCAGTCATCGTCAGCAATTCTATCTGGTAAGCTTCCTGTAAATGGGACCGAGAATTGCAAAGGAAAAGAATTAACACGACCCCAGGTTCCCAAAATGATCAAAGGAAACGCCTTTGACCACGGCATGACGCGCCGTACGCTCACAATCTTCCGAAGTCTGGGTGACTGGTGGCCCAAAGCTTGCGCCATGGTCTTCACAAACGCTTTGGACAGTGCCAGAAGGAAAGCATACCCCTGGCTCAGCAAACACCCGTCGTTCGTAGCTCCACGGGTTCTTGCAAGCGCGGAGCATCGGATTCCGGTTCTATCCAACGACCTCGCTGAGAATCTAAGAGATGGGATCACCCGTACTGTTCCTGGGGTAAAGGAAGTTACCGGACCCAAGTCTGTGACCTTCACAGATGGTAAAGTTTTAGACGACATCGATGCCATCATTATCTGCACGGGGTACGAATACGACTTCTCGGTGACCAAGGGCTCCGGTAACCCTACCGACCCTGCAAAAGCTCCAGATCATTTCGAGCGCATCAACGCAACTCGATATAAGGATCCTCATGTGCATTTCGCTCGCCTGTATCGAGGGTTTCTGTCAGAGGAGTATCCTGAATCACTTGCGTTCATCGGTCACTTCTTCATCCTGAAGGCGCCATTTGTATTCAATGATCTCGTCACGATGGCACTGGCTAGTCTCTGGAGCGGAAAGGTCCCCCTACCCTCAGCCGACGTGATGGCACAAGACATCAACAAACACTACGACACCGTTGTGAATACCCTTGAACGCGGGGCGCTACCCCACCTAGGATCCAGGATGTTCGGCAGCGACACCTACACATGGTTGAACAAGGTTGCAGGAACCGGAGTGACGGAGAGAGTTGGCTGTTTCAGTAAGGAGGCTTGGAAGCTCTGGTGGAATGACCCGAAATTCTACAACTTGCTCATGGATGGTGCCGATTCACCGGCGGTCTATCGGCTTTTCGAAACGGAGCGGGGCCGGAAGGCTTGGCCGGGGGCCCGTGATCAAATCCTGAAGATGAATAGGGAGGTGAAAGAAATGGGCGAGGAGTGGATAAAGAAGAACAAGGCAAAGTCTAAGTAGAACTGCGCCCTTTTCTAGATCAATAGTTTGATGCTGTAGGCTCTCGTGGCATCGTAACAGGTAGTCAGTAAGACTCAATCTCTATGGCTTCTAGGCCCGGCGTACATGTGTTGATAGCTGGCTTTCATGTAGAGTGATGACAAGTCATGCAAGTCTCCAATTCCAAAGTAGGGGGAGGCCATTACCCCTAGCATTTCTACATTTTCACATGAGGGGGGAAGAGTGGTAGTCATCAGACGATCGGCTATTCGTAAGCCATTTCAACAAGCGTTACTCCACTTTCTCCGCGGCACGACATCGAAGAGAGCAATGTCGCCATCACCACAGCGAAATCGGGACAGCCAGCACTTTCAATGCGTACTGTATGAGCATAAGAGGCTCAACTTCACCCGAGCCAACGAGCTAACTCAGCGTTGGCTAGTCGCAGATTAGCAGCATCTTCGGATCAATAGGACAGAGTTCTGGAGCTTCCTCAACCGTCACAGGAGACACCTGCCACACCACGTGTACCACCATGGCCACCGTCACTTTGACCCGTCCGGTCCAGCCGGACATACAGTATGCTCCGGACTACCAGAAATTTCAGGCCCGGACTGCGCGCCGAGTTCAGGAGCCTGATCTTCCCAGAAGCTTGCCTGAGGGACTTCCGCAGAAGTTCACGAGCGATATGGTCTGGGAGGGAGCGACTCTAGCCAACGAGTACGATTGGACTTACGCCCTAACACCTGAACAACTCGACGAACTTGATGCAGCGCTGGCTCACTTCAAAGGTAGAATAAGTACATCTAACCCACAAAGTAATTACCAGCCGCTAATCATCCACGAAGCGCTGAATCTGCCGCTCGGCGACATCAATCAGGAAACCTTTCCCCTAGCTAAGCTTCACCCTGAGCTTCGAAAGCTCTCATATGAGTTGCACAATGGGCACGGTTTCTTTGTCGTTCGCGGCCTCCGTGTGGATGAACATACAAGAGAAGACAACATCATCATTTACGCAGGCTTGTCCTCGCACATCGCACCTCAGCGAGGTCGCCAGGACAGGCAGTATGACGGGAAGCCAGCTGATGTCGTTCTCACTCACATCAAAGACTTGACCTTGACGAAGGACAAGGGCCACATTGGCAGCCCTGCTTATACTGCGGATAAGCAAGTGTTTCATACGGATGCAGGAGACATTGTTTCTTTGTTTGCTCTATCGACTGCTGCGGAGGGCGGCACGAGTAAGTTGGCAAGCATCGCAAGGGTTTACAATGAGATTGCTAGTACGCGTCCGGATCTCATCCATACTCTCACGCTAGACTGGCAGTTTGAGGTGTAAGTAGCTGCATGCTGACGAGGACGGATGGATGCAATGAGATGAGCATCGGCTAATGATCTGCTTCTTTGCTAGCTTTGGCAGGCCCGAGAAGTCCTTCACTTCCCGCCCGTTGGTACACTACCAGCCGGCTACTTCGACAACGCCTGAGCGTTTAGCCGTGCAATACGCTCGTCGATACTTTGTCGGTTACGGTGCACTTCCTAGAAGTGAAGAAATCCCCCCGATTTCTGAGGCTCAGGCCGAAGCACTGGACACTCTCCATTACCTTGGGGATAAGTTCGCGGTCAACCTGGATTTCCAGAAAGGCGACATTCAGTATGCCAATAACATGGGCATTTTTCATGCCCGTGATGGGTTTACCGATACTCAAGGCCAACAGTACGTTATTTCATAATCACAGTGAAACTTGAGGATGTGGCCGTGCTAACAATATGATTCTTGAATTCCGCAGACGTCATTTGTTGAGGCAGTGGTTGCGCGACCCAGAGTATGGCTGGGAGACGCCAGAGCCATTAAAGGAAAGATGGGCTCAACTGTACGAGGGTGTTACTCCAGAGGCTCAGGTATTCCCTCTAGAACCATTCATCCGTAGTGAAGGAAACAAGAGCAAAGGAAGGTCATAGATCGGTAATCGGTAGCTTGTACTAGCATGGCAAAGCCATTGATACAGAAGTGGTAACACTCTAATCAAATGAATGCTCTCAAATCTAGCTGGCCAACGGACTGCTGTTTCTCTACTCCGTACGGTGGCCCTCTTAATAAGGAATAAGGTTGAAACAATCATCGTTCTTCAAGCGCTCGCTTAGTGATGAGCGAAAGGCGTGCCAAGGGGCCAGGTTTAGACCTAGAGGAGTTCATTGGCGAGCGACAAGAGGTTCTCAAGGGAAATGGAATGAAATACTTAACCTCCCTAAGAAAGTACATCCAACAATAACAGTACCAATAGATATTTAATTAGCCTTGAGCTTAAGCGAACCTCGGCTAAACATGGACTTTTGGAAGGCAGCGCTTGTTGCCTGTTTAACATGAGTCACCAACACGCCAAGCATTTCCAAACTTCCAACAACAACGAAGCCTGCCCAGGTGGAAGTTGTCACACCACTCTCATAATCACAGTGATCTACTGACGAGAGCGACAGAAATCAGGCAAGACACCGCTCTAGCACCGAAGTCTGGATCAAAACGATCACAATTCTCCGTCTCTTCCAGTTTCCTAAATCCCAAACTTCATTGTGACGAAGACCATCTCAATGGCTGTCCTCACCAACCTACCAATCGAAATTCTCAACAAGATTTGCACTTCACTATGCTGTCATTGTCGACAAAACAAAGTGCAGCTCGATAAATCGAGCGCGCCCGACATCTCGAATGAAGACTACAGTGAGCGACTTGGGCTACGCAATCTGTGCCTCACATCACGGTCACTACGCTACGTCGCCCAACCAATTCTCTACCACGTTTTTCTGCACCACTGCAACATGAACTGGACAAAAAGAGAAACGCACTTAATACCTCGGTTGTTTCGTTTACTAAGAACTAACAATGAGAACCCCCAACTTTCATTCTGCATCAAGTCCGTCGACATCAAAGCTTATGAAGAGAAGTGTGATTGCTGTTCACCAACGGCTGACTGCGCGACCGACGAAGAGACTGTTCAAGTCATGCGGTTCTCCGAAAGGACAGGTCTCTATGTTGATCTCCTCGACGTGGATTACGATACACTCCCTGAGATTCTTACTCAATTTCTGTTGACTGTGACGCCAAATCTTCAGAAACTAAGCCTGTGCGTCCCACGTTGGTGGTACTTTCAGCCGCCGGAAACATGGATCCATGGACATAATGAGTCAATGACATTCCTGAGCCAGGTTCGGCACATGGATCTGGAGATTGAGCGCCATGCCAACGACATGTGCTTTGACGAGCACGACGAGGACACGTGTTTTCATCCCACCGCGCCGAGTCCTGTCGAACGTCTGCTTATTGACAATGCTTCGAATCTCGAGATGTTGTCATGTACTGCTGGAGGACTGGAATACCATCGCTCAGGTGGCTGCACCTCCACATGAAAGGGTCTTGGGAGGGGATGTTGCCTCAGTTGATGGATCGCCTACCACATCTGACACATTTCAGTTACTTTACCCGGAATCTGCACTCTCCCACACCCAGAGAGATCCAAGACTCTCTTCGTAACCACCACGAAACTCTTCAGCATCTGACTGTGGTGAGTCAGTTCTGGGAGAGTATTTCAGGGTGACGATTTGCGAATGGACCCAAGCCGGCCGTACCCAATGACCTCCCTCGCCGATTTCACGGCTCTTGAAACCATCAATCTCGAGGGCTATATGATATGGCCGCATCGGAACGACGGAAGTACGATCCAAGACGTGGAGTCAGACTTGCAGCGTCTACCAAAGTTTTTGCCCCAGTGCGTACAGCAGCTTCACATTGACATGGATGGCTGGCTCAACTATGGAGATGAAAACCTCAGGTCATTAGCCAAGGCTGTGGCAAATGGGAAATTCCCCTACCTGCAGACGGTGATCTGGGGCATGATACATGACCGCCGACTCCTCCGGCGTGAGACTTGCAACAGGGCGTGGGAAATGGGCGAGGAATGGAGGGAAAAAACCGCACAACAAGTCGAAAGCCGCATGCGTCGTGGTTATCATGAGGCATTTCCAGACTGGAGAGCTGAATTGTTGGAGTCTGCGGCCAAAGAGGCTTGCTGAAGTACCTTAGTCATGGAGTTCATTCGCCACAGCTACCACGTATGCAGTATGAAAAGTTTCAGGTTTTGACGATAACAACGGCTATGAAACATGAAAACAGTTTCAACTGAAAACACAGTGACCAGTTCTGGACTTGAGCCACCAACTACCATATGATAATGAAACTTGTAAACCTCAATCAAGTCTTGAACAGCATTGAGGCGTTCACATTGAAAAGATTCCGCGCACGCGCTGTTGTTAATCAGGTCCATGATAGGAAAATATTGAAGTCGTGAACAATCTAGCTCATTTTCAGTAAAGGGAGTGTAAGGTTGTCCAGATATGTTAGCTCACGTCCAGCTATGTCGATTCGAAGCTTGAGATTGCTAGTCGTCTTGCGTCCCCCACACGCCGCAGGATGAACTGTATGGGGAGATTGTCTACTGACTTTAAAAATCCATCTTACGGAAGGTTGGTTCTGGTTAATAAAATATGACCAGAACACACGGTTACAACTCCAAAATTGGCATTGCAGAACGCAGCCATTCTTTTCTCGCTTGTTGTCAACAAAAGATGCCAACGCTGGAAGCTACCGTACATCAGAGCCACTTGATTTAGACATCGAGCTTGACCATAACGGCAACGCTCTTTCCAAACCCTTGGTACTTCTGCAACGCTGCCTGCGCCTCTGGCTTGGTCCAAGCAGCCTTTGCGTCCTGTCTCAGATGTTAGCAGGAAATCATCAACAATCATGACGATTTTATGGATAGCCTACCTCTTCGCTGTTCCATCCCAAGATCCCCAAGCCGGTCGATTGACCCCCGTCGACACTCTTTCCTCCAAAGTGGACGGTCTGGCCGAGGGCAGCGACTAGGTCGATCCAAGCCTTCATCGCCTCCTCATGCTTGCTTTCGTCCGCAACATCGATGAAACAGAGTTGAGTAAACGTCTTGGGCTTTTCACCGGGAAGAGGACCAGTCTCAAACTTCTTGACACGGGGCTCGCCTCCGGGACTGGCCTTGAACTGCTCTTCACGCTCTTTCATCCACGCCGACTCGGAAAACGCCTTGTCATCTGCAGCAGACTCGAAAGCTGCGAAAAGGTTTAGCCACAGTCAAAAGCTTCACCTTCAGCGGAAGATCATACTTATCGTCTGGAGAAATTTGAAGTCTGTCACCGGCGTTCCGCTTTCATTGATGACCTGTCCTCCATCTACTCCAATGACACCTGGCTGTTTGGCAATGTCTTCCTTGATTTGCGGCCATGCACCGAGGAATTCACCCTTCTTATCGGCAGGAATAATGGGCGTGACGACGGCGAGGAAAGGCATTTTGGCGGCTGCTAAACTCGGAACTAGTAGAGATGATGAGATTGTTTGGGCTGTATGCTTTAGCACTGGTCGGTTCGCGGTGATGTGTTTGACTTTGGTTTCGATGAAATCTTGCTTCTCTGTTGCTTTGAAGTTGGTTGATGGATGCGGACACCACAAGCTTTATATGCCTTTCCAAATCAGCTCATCAGACGCCCTGCTGCATCAAGACCGTGGTCGGCCATCTATCACCCCGACACGGAGCGCAACTCAGACCCGGAAATCCCGGTGATGCGGCATGATAGTAGTCAGACGCCGTCAGACGAGTTGCGTCTTAGAAGGCCCCTGGCAAGAGCTGAAAGCCAGTCTATACCGCCGACTAACCCCAGATCATCTAATTTCTGAACCCCTCTTGTCGCGGATGATGCCACCGGCAAGTAGGGATGGCTTCAGGGCCCAACAGCTCATTGGGAGCGCCTGCTAGGTTGCATGGTAAACAAACCGCGTGTATGCTGTATCGTTGATGCTTCAACCTAGAAAGTGAAACTCAGGCGGAGTCGGAAACCGAGGGTCTGGCCAGTGTGGGGTAATGTCGCTGCCACGGCGGCGGAGGACGGGCCGCCGGGTTTTGACGAGACGGTCTCGGTTTTTCGTCTGATCCGTGATTTATGCCCCCTCCACCAAGCCGAAAGTTTAATCTACTCGGCAGCGTGCTTGGAGGCCTGCATGAATCCAAACCGGCAGCCTGGCGGACGTAAGGTTGACTAGGCTACGTCGAAGAAAAGGGGACCCCATGCAAGGAGCTGTCAAATCACCGTTGGTCAAGTACGTCTATTACACGGGTGTTACGGGCTGGACCCGATTAATGGATCCGGGCCAGCGCCCGGATATTCTGCCACGATTGACCGCGCGGGCTCCATTACGCCTACGCTCCACCTCCGCGGAAGCTCCGCTTGTAAATCCCTTCTCGTCAGCTTAGATGCTATATACAGAAATCACCCCTACGTGGCCACACGAGGGCTGGGCTCTTGACAACGGGGCGGTGCCAGAACGCCGACGGTCTTTCAGGAAGCGACACGTTCCAGGTGATGGCTTGACTTATTCAAACCAAGGGTTCATCTCGCATCGTGATGTATTACGAAGCTGGAAACACCTTGGCAGAATTGGGGGAGTATTCCATCAAAGCAGGGAGCTGTGACTAAGTCTGACACATGAAAAAACGTTCCAGAAGAAGTGCAATCCTTCGGGGATATATGAATACTTCGGGGAATTAGAAAAGCAGCCCGTGCTCGTATCCAGACTCTACAATACTCACAATATTCATATGGAACTTCCAATGTCTCACCTCAGTGTGGGGTGGACTGCGGAGATGCTCGTATGATTGAGAGTGGGCAAGGTCATGTCTTCAAGCTTCTTCATCAGATATCGTCGCTAAGCTTCCCATGCGGAGCCCAGTAGGTAGCTAATGACAAGGTCAATAGAATGCTCCTGGGTTTAGGCCGCTACTGTTCCGGTCAGTCGAAGGCATTCTTCTTGCTTCGGAACTGAACATACAAGATCGGAAACGGCCGAGACTTGAATTCCGGTGTTGACTGGGTTCTTCGGGATGTCGGGCCAAAGATGACTACCGATTGAAGAGGTAAATGTGCAAAAAAGCCTTGTTTCCTTTTGATATTGAGCAAGTCCTACTATTTTATGAAAATAATGCACATACACTCCTACTAACCCATGCCTCGACTGGCGTTTTGACTGGCGGTGTAAGGCCATGCAATGACTCGTTCCCGGCCATCACAAAGACAGGCCGATGCATCATGTACGGACCCGCAGCCATGGCCAGTTCTCCTCATAGAACTCCGAACGTAGATACCGAGCCCGAGGAGAGATTCTCCTGCTATGGCCTGCTGCAGCGGTTCCTCACTTAGAGCCATGATGTTTTCTCTATCATAAATGATCTAAAAGATGGGTCTATGTCTCTTGCTATTCACGAGTCACGCAGAAGTAAGGCATGAGAAACAAATGCGTCGTTGGAAAACGCAACTCCTTGCTCATCAGGCTAACGGATAGATATCAATTGGTGAACTACCCTCGCCCTTTGTTCAAACCACTGGAGAGTGTGTGACGCCGTCCACATTGTCTGCCAAATATCCGACACCTGATTTCCTCGCCCTTGACAGCATGATCTTGGAAGACATCCGGGAAGAGGACTCATCACAGCTTGAAATATTCACATTCAAGAGCAGTCAAAAGCTCAATTCCGTTATATGCTACTTGCCGTCAAATTGGCCGAAGACGATTGACAACAAACATGTACTATAGGCAATTGTCTAATCCAAGCTAGGTATGTCAAGCCAGCCGAGACCAGTTCACCCCAACTATTTTGCGCCGAGCATAAGGGAATCGCGCTTCCACCATGCCATTGTCAAAGTCCCCAGAATCGACGCATGCAAAAGCCTTAACACGATTCTGCCCAAGGTATATCTATTTGAGGCGATCAGTAGCAGCCTCAAGCAAACGCCACAACAGCGGCCGCGACGCCGAGAACAGCCGCCATCTCCGCCCGAGCCGTCGACCCCGCCCCCGCCGGAACCGTACTCGGCGAGGGCTCCGCTCCGCTTCCAGTCCCAGTGGGCGCGGCCTCACCCTCCGTCGACGTCACCAAGGTACTGCCCGCACCGCTCGTCCCAGTCGTGATTCCGCTCTGCCCCGACACCGTCAGCGATGCCGTCGGCGACGTAGTGACGGTTTTGACAATGGTGCTCGTCGTCGTAGGCGGTGTAATCGTCACCGTCGTGCTGCCGACCCCGCTGTTCGACCCCGGAGGCGCCAGGGTCTGGGTGACTGTCACCGTGGGCGGTTTGACGGTAGCGCAGCTGGGGAGGAGGCTCTTGGTGATCGTCTCAGTTCCGGAGTACCCTGGGCAGCCGGGGATTTTCTTGCCGATCGCGTTGTCGGTACCTCCGCAGTCGAGCGTGGTGCAGATTTCGAGGGTGTCTGGGACGTAGTGGATTACTGTCTTGATGGAGTTGCCGGAGGATCCTGGGATGGTGGATGTGAGAGAGGTGCAGCCTGCGAGGTCCGTCTTGGCTAGGACTGCGGTAGCTGCCAGGATCGGGAGGAGGTAGCGAGCCATTTTCTTCTGGAGTTGGGAAGCGAGTTTAAAATAATTCGAGGGAACGAGCGTAACTGCCCAAGGCTACTGATAGACACCTGAGATCGCGAGGGTGAGAGAGGTATGGATCGCCAAGTCGGATCTGGATGGCTGAACGGGTCCTTTTGAATGCGTGATCGTGCGGAAAGTCGTAGCGTTCCCATGCTTCCTTGATGTTTGGCGACCAATAAACAACACTCCTGAAACCTCATCACCTCGGACTCGTCTCGCCTCCTTGGTACGACCCCAAGAGGATACGACGTGCCGCATTGGCGCTTCAACTCCTTGCACCACCGACGTTCTTTTGCCATGTGGCACGAGGAAAAGAGACAAGTGGCAGAGAGGTCAGCTTTCTAAAATTCGAAGCTTCATGCCAGATACGCGAGGAGTGCAAACTAGACTGATTGTGGAAAACGCGCACTTGTATGAAATGACTGCCCAGTCCCTTGCTTCACGTGTTTGGCAATCAGTGGCAGGGACGCCAGGAATAGAAGTCCAGGTCGTCTGCTATGCACTGTAAGATCATTGTAGACTTGCATGCTACAGCCTACTAAGTAGGTACTTGATGAAACGAGAAACCAGGGGGCCCAGAATGTTATAGAGTTGAGCTAGTACTCAGAGTCCTTCTGAAAGTCAAACTATCAATTTAATAAGGAAAGTGGCTGGCCAGCAAGATAAAATCAGCTTTGCTCTCCATATCCATGCCTCTGTTCGTAGCCGAATGCTTGAGTTAGCCGTCGAAGATCGAGGAAGGGGATTAGATCTAGCGACAGATCAAAGTTCCGCGGACAACTGCTCAAAGATGGCCATACCCAAATACTCGTATGCGGGTCCCTACTTGCGTTAATATCAAAAGAATGTAGTTTGCCGTTGTTTCCCTCAAACACTGCCGCATTGTTCTCCCTTCTGTGTGACGCGACCTCGGCTTTGTACTCGAGTCACACGACACATCGCTTTCTTTGCTGTTGTCGGTGGAAGAGCCTATGCTGGTGCGCTTCCATCTCTCTGTCTAGCGGGACACATGCTTAAAGCGCGTTATCTTGCCATCACATCGAACCTCAAAGAGCGCCGAGGGCATTACAATCTGTATGTACAGCATTGATATAGTAACAGTAGCGATTGTCGCAGTAGTTGGTAAGTCTAGAATATTACAATTTATCATAATGAAGTCGTCGTGTCGGCCGTTAGAAAGGAATGATTGCATAGCCGGGGAGTCTTTCGCGACGACTCCGCCACTACGGCGTTCAAGTGCGGCCGGATCACCCGCCGCCATAAGGACGGGCGATCTGGGTAAGTGGGGTGAGCAGGGTGAGCAAAAAGTAAGTATAAGGGTTGAACAGCGAATAGGTAACAACCCTGGGAGATGTGTTAGCGGCAAAGGCTTCGGAATGCCCTTAGTAATACCTCGATGAGTCCAAAGCGTAGTTGAGTCACCACCGCCAATGAACGCCATATTCGTCTCTGCGCCAAGATACCAGTCTGCTGATCCTAGTCCTTCCCCCTCACGCCCGGTTCCAACTCGAACTCAACAACCTACCCAACTACCTTTCCACCTTTCCACCTTTCCACCTGTCCACTCTACCATCATATCGAAGTGCCTTTCTTCCCAGTCTACTCCGTACTATCTTGCCATAACCGCTTAAACGCTTAAGCGGATATAAGTAATATGCACAAGCACATGGCCCCTTTGATATCATTTCTAGAGGATTTCCAAAACGGCAAATTTACGAAATGCGATATCAATCGCAGACTCATACGCATGAAAGACCTAGTTGATGATAAGCCGATATCGAAGTCGAAAGCAGCTACTCAAAGTCTGTATATAGTAACCTAAAGGTATCTTTGTAATATCCGAGATAGACTCGGCCGACCGGTATATTACCTCTGCATCCTTGCGTCGTCTATGAAGGTACTGTACTAGTACGACCGGACCGGGTTCCAAGATGCCTTGGAGGAGTAGACGGAGGAGATATACGTACCTACAGCATTTGCTAAAAAAGTGCGATGCGCGGTTGAGGAATTCCTAGCTAGCCTTGTTATTAATACTATAGCTCGAGTTCTGAAACATCGTCGAGAAGTAGGCGATAGTAAGCGGTAGAGTTTAATACCCGAATATTAAAAGATGCTAAAGTGTTACGAGCAGGACAAGGCAACCAACTGTGGCACAAAGCAAAAGCTTCGATAATGATGACTCCGCATCATTTTCCCTTGTTCTGCATTATCCCATCGAGTGCTGCAAGGCGACAGTACATTGGCTCCACATAAGGGGCCCTCTTTTACCCCGCACCGCATCTGGTACATCCACTGCTTGAGTTGCCCCTATGATTTCTACTACGGTACATCCACCAAATCCATCATTACCAATACTCAATTAATGGATTCTGACGATTCTGACGGATCTGGCTGTTCCACGGGCTCGGCGAAGTCGTGTATCTTTGCCCTGCTGCCCGAGGACCTCGCCGCCGCCTGCACTGCCGACTGTACGCCGGAGCAATGTGATAATGCCACTGTTCGGCCCCGCGAGCCTCCGGAGGTTGAGCCCGGTATCCCTGGGCAGTTCGTGCCCTTCGAGGTGCCGCAGCGGCCCGCGGAGGTCCGGAGCCTACCACCGCAGCCGCTGGACCTCCTCCTCGAGTTCGTGCCGGCCAGCCTCGTCGGTCGGTGGGTTAAGTGGACGAATGCGGCGCCGTGCTCGGCGAGGCTGGGCCCGGTTAAGAAACACTCTCGCAGTCTCAAGTGGAGGTCAGCGACTGTAGACGAAGTCTATTTGTTTTTGAGCATTTTGATTTATATGGGCTTACACCCTGAAACTAAAATATCTAAATACTGGTCTACTTCACAACAGACAGAGGATCCTATCCATTTGTTTACTCGATTTATCTCGAGGGACCGCTTCCAGCTCCTCCTCCGCCGCATCCGGATCTTTGACCCGGCCAAGATCCCTGCTTCCGTGCCGTCGACGGCAGGCCGGCGCCGCGGGCAGCCTCGGGAGAAGCAGATGCCGAAGGTGTACCAGCAAGTCAATGAGTGGTCAGCTCACATCCAAGAGACCGGCGACCGCTTCTACCGGGCCGGCTCCGACCTCACCGTCGACGAGGCCATGGTCCGCTTCACGGGCCGGGCAGTGGAGACCACGACGATCCCAACGAAGCCGATCCCAACCGGCTTCAAGGTCTGGGTTCTGGCGCAAGCCGGGTACTCCCTCCGCTGGCTCTGGCACGTCCACGGCGACGGGCCCTGCGGCCTCGTGGCACAAGCCCGGCCCGCAGCCGGCGACGAGGAGGCCCGGCGAACGGCCTTGACGCCAACCCAGCGAGTGGTCACATCACTGCTTTCCTTGCTTCCGTTGGCCACTTATCACGTGTTTCTTGATAATCTATTTGCTTCAGTAAAGCTCTTCCGGGCCCTTCGTGACCAGCGGATCGGTGCCACCGGCACGTGCCGGAAGGATAGTGGAATCGACAAGACATTGGTTACTGAGAAAGAGACTGACGGCAAGGGACTTCCATGGGGTCAACTACACGCGATCTCCACGGCTGACGGGAAAGTATGTTAACCCAAATCACTGTCAGTGGCTATTCCATACTAAACCATTCATCGGAATAACTTCCAGGTCAACCAGTTCACTTGGAAGGATAATGCCCTCGTTCTCTTCCTCACGACGGTCTTCCGAGAGACATCCGACGTTGTACGAAGCCGCAAACGGCCGGCTGGAGATACCGCTGCGAAGAGGGCAGCACGGGAGGTCTTCGGGCCCGAAGTGCGGAAGGATCTCCGGATTCCACTCGCAATCGATGAGTACAATCACCGTATGAACGGCGTAGATACCGGGGACCAAATGCGGTCCTATTACGACTTCAGCCGGCCCGTGAGGCGGGGCAGTTGGCAGGCAATTGCCTGGAACTTTCTCCTCGAAGTCATTATTATTAATACCTTTCGTCTTCAACAATGGGGAGATCCTGAGTGGCCCCGGGTTCAGAACCAGTATGAATGGCGTAGACTGCTTTCTGCCCACCTAATTCAGCGGTTTGGACCATTGGCAGAAGGTCGTCGACGGGGACGTCCAAGGAGGGCAACAGATAAAAGGAACGAGGCAATACCGTGGCAATTACACGTACGAGGGCACAGAAATGCTAATTCTGCTTGCGTGGGTTGTAGTACGATATCGCAAGTAAAAGCGAGGACTGCGCTGGGCGAGATTAGTGGTAATATCCATACCCAACCGCAGCGGCGGAAGTACACGAGGATGGGCTGCCTCGAGTGCGATGTAGCTCTCTGTAACTCAGAAGATTGCTGGTACCGATTTCATACGCAGAATCTCTAATAATTGGAAGTATCTATTATCAATTACGTTGGTTGGTTGGAAAAAGGGGCCCGAAGTGGCCCGATTGGCTGCTCCCCCGCATCTCAATGTACTGTCGCCTTGCAGCACTCGATGGGATACATAGGGATCCATAGAGAATCTACATTATTAACCTATCAGTCAACCTAACAGCAAACGGAGGATCCTATCCACCTATTTACGCAGTTTATTTCTAAAAACCGATTCTAATTACTACTCCGGCGACTATAGATATTTAGCACGGCTGAATTTGAGCCTAGCCAGCCCAGCCAGGGCCGGGGCCGGGGCCAGCGCCAGGCCCAAGATCAAATACCAGACGTATACCAAAAGGTTAACCAGTGGTCAGCCCACATCCAAGAGACTGGTTATTCCTTTTATATACCTGGTTCAGACCTTACAGTTAATAAGGCTATAGTCCGATTTACAGGTCGATCTCTTAAAACAACAATAATTCCAACAAAGCCTATCCCAACTGGCTATAAGATCTAGATCCTTGCTCAGTCTAGCTACTATATACGGTAGCTGTGGCATGTACATGGAAAGGGCTTATACGCATTAGTCCCCCAGGCCCAGCCAGCCTAGCCAGCCCAGCTGGCTGCTGGAAAGCTAGCTCTATTAACACCAACACAGCAGGTAGTAACTACTCTTATTTCCCTACTTCTAGCTACAACTTACCACGTATTTCTTAACAACCTCTTTACTTCTATACGTCTCTTTCGTACCTTACGGAACCAATAGGTTGGAGCTTCTGGTACTTGCCGAAAGGAATGTGGGATAGATAAGACCTTAGTTAAAGAGAAAGAGACTGAGGGAGGAGATATCCCCTGGGGTGAAGTACACTATATCCCTACTTTAGATGGGGAGGTAAGCTAGCAGCCTAGCCAAGCCTAGCCAGCCTACCTACCTAGCTAACTAGTAAATAGGTTAACCAGTTTACCTGGAAGGATAATGCCCTTGTATTATTTCTATCAACTGTCTTCCAGAACGGCGAGGAAGTTATCCGCAGCCGCCGCCGCCCAGCTAGGAATTCCACTGATAAGAGGGCTGCCCGACAAGTCTTTAGCCCAGACGTCCGCAAGAACCTACTAATCCCTAGGGCAATTGATAAATATAACCATAAGATGAATGGGGTTGATGTAAGTGACCAGATAAGGTCCTATTATTAATATAGCTACCCTATTCGTCGAGGGGGCTGGTAGTCAATTGCCTGGAATTTCCTGCTGGAAGTAGTAGTTGTGAATAGCTTCTTATTGCAGCTCTCGGGTAGCCCTAGGTAGCAGAAGGTAAAAACCCATGACCGCTAGCGGCAGCTACTTATAGCCTAGCTTATCTAGCAGTTCGGACCATTAGTACAAGGACGGCAGAGGTCACGGCCTAGACGGGCTACAAATAAAAGGAATACCTCTATTCTATAGGAACAGCATAGGAAAGGGGTCGAGGAAGGTTAATTCGCCTTGCTCTTATTATAGTAATCTAAGGGTATTAAGGGCCCGCCAGACCCTAGGTAAGATATCTGGGAATAACCTCATTAAGAAAAGAAAGAAAACACGGAAGGGCTGCTTAGATTATAATGTACCGTTGTGTATTGATGGAGAGTACTGGAACCTCTGGCACACCCAAATTATATAGGAAATTGAGGTACTATGCCCCTATTGGTTAACTCAATAGATTCACAACCCCTTATTGGCTCTACCCCGCTCTTGGCGAAAATGGGGTCAAGTGGCACTTGATGGGATAGCTCTAGGCCAAGAGATCACTCATATACTTAACTAGGGCACTAATAATAAGGTTAATTTTGACCTAGCTAAGTGTAAGGTAGTCCACTTCAGCAGGAAACATAACGAGACAAAAGACCTACCAGATATACAAGCGAGGGGCCTAACTATTAAGGCCTCAGTGTCAAGTTGGGATGTTGACGCAGGGTGGAAACTCTCAGAGGCCAACTGCAGTTAGGGGTAGAATGATGAATTACTGAAATCTACTCCTCCCTCGACGTGTACTCCCTGCGCTGTATATATATCTGAGCTGCTCCTTTGTTGCTTGGACTCCTTACTACCTCTGACTAGCCCCTATCCGGGAGGGCTCTGACACTCAGCTAGGCCTATACGATGGCTAGGAGTCTGGTTTAACAAGAGACTCACCTTCCGTCACTATATCGAAACTAAGGTAGCGGCAGCAAGGAAGGTAGCCCAGTTCCTTCGGCACCTAACAAATACTAAAGAGGGGCTCCCAGCAGCCGCAGTACAAAAAGCGGTTATTACCTATATCCTTCTAACAGCCCTATATAGAGTTAAGACCTAGTATACGAGCCTAACCAAACCAGCCCTAAATAGCGGCACTAATACTAGCAGTAGTACTACTTTATGGATAGCTATAATTAGCATAGGACAGAAGGGCCTAGCCCGTAAAGTTAGCAAAGTTATTATAGCAGTAGCAAGGGCTATCCTGCCTATCTAGAGAACCACACCGACCAGCAGCCTCATCCGAGACGCTGGCCTTCCTACAGCAGAGGTAGCCCTCGAAGCAGCGCGACTACGCTTCGCTATACGCCTGCAGAAGGTTGACCAACAGCATCCCTTGGTCCCAAGGCTGCTACAGCCAGGGCGGCAACAGACCAGGCTCCAAAGAACAGCTGGCCTGTTACCTAAGTGTCCAAGGCCAGCACTCCTACAGCCGCAATACCTCCCAGGGTCTTATAACCTTATAATTACACAAACGAAGGATGTAGCAGCTAGGATCTTCCAGGCCTGGCTCAAGACTGTGCCAGGTCAGCATACAGTCGTATACTCAGACGGCTCCAAAGCTCCTGACGGGGCTACAGGGTTCGGCTTTGTTATCTACCGCAACAATAAACGTATAGCCCAGGGCTGCGGCCGTCTCGGCTTAGCAGAAGTGTTTGATGGTGAGGCGGAGGGGGCGAGGGCTGGGCTCCGACGGGCCCTTCAGACCTCCCAAGGCCAGCCTATACACATCTGCATCGACAATACCAGCGTTATTCAGGGGATTCGCGGTAAGGTCCCAGACTCCTCACAAGCGGCCTTCCTTGAGATCCAGGAGGTAGCTAGGATACACGATATACAAACCCATTGGTCTCCTGGGCACCAAGGTATTAAAGGAAACGAAGAAGCAGACAGCCTAGCTAAGGAGGGAACAACTCTACCAGTCCTTAAAGGCCAACTAGCTACTCTATCAGGTATCAAGTGGCTTGCTAAAGAGCGGCCAAGACGCCAATATAGACGATGGTGGAAACAAGAGGCAACTCCCCGCTATACCCAACTAGGGCTCAAGGCTACCCTTGCTTGCCCTCCTGAACTTGGCCTCCCTAGGGCTGCCCTTCATCACCTCCTCGCGGCACGGTCAGGCCACGGGGACTTTAAACAATATCACCAACGCTTTAACCACACAGAAGCACTACTCACCTGCTCCTGTGGATGGGTTAAGGAGGCAGACCATCTAGTCTACTGCCGAAAGACCCTACTGAGGAGGCAACAGTGGCCCACCCTCTACCCCTACAGCCGCCAGGAGCCCGTAGGACCTATAGGGTCCCTCGATCGCTACTTCAAGGGGCTAATCACTGACTCTGAAGGCTTCCAGGCCTTCCTCTGCGTGACAGACTTCTTCCAGAAGATCTGCCCGCGGTACTAGGAGATAGGTCATAACCTATCCTCCAAACGACAAACTACCTCTATTAAGAAACCAGATGGTTATAACGGAACTAGGGCACCAGTGGGAACTAGGGATGGATAGAACACATAGTAGCTCACGAGCAAGATTTGGAGGACGTCAGGATACGGCGTGTACTATATAGTATATAGCTAGAGCCTGCGACCCTTCACGCCACATACCCTCCGGGAGGTCTGCCGCAAGGGCGGCTGCGCCCTTGCCGCCATGGCGTTAAATAGAACAACAACAACAACAACAACATCTTCACTCATCACTTTTAAATCCCCAAGAATGCGTGCTCTAGAAAGGGTTGCATAAACGCCTGGCCGTCTCACATATGTGGGTAGACGCCATTGACAATGTGTATCAAGCTTCACAACCAAAATTCACCTCAAAACTTGCTCCAACATTTTCTGCGTTGTTAAAGACACCCGATTGCTTGTAAATTCGCATTTACTTTTTCTTCCCTAAGATTACCAGCAACGCTCTGAGATAAGAACCTCGTCATATAAATTTGACGCAGTATAATGAAGCACTGCCCTGCGGCCTTCTCCTCATTTCCAGGCATCTAGTAGATAATGTTTAGAACACTAATCATCGCGATAACATCATGATTTCGGGTTCTCTTCTCATCAGGTAATATTCGGCGCCCGTGTTGTTCACTTCTACAAGTAGTCATTCACGGCGACGTAAATCACAAAACTGGGAAATCACGACAGCCCGATCAGCCGGACTATTGTCGGAAACTGATTTATCAAGTCTACACTTGGCTCGAGAGTGGGATATTCCAGAGTTTCCTGTCTTTGATTTACAATAGGTAGCGGCTGACTTGTTCGAGTTGGGTCAGGTCTTTACGAGGGTTGATATTGGTGCAGCCCGCATGATAGGCCCCCGCATGCTGCACATCCGGAGAATAGACCAACGTCAAGCCAACTTACCTCCCTGCCGGATCCATCGTTGGATTCGACGTCTCAAAAAGGGTCAGAAATGACGCCAGTGTCTCTAGTCCCGTGTTCGAAGGCTTAGCACGGATTGATGAAGTGGAGTTTGAACTTCAGTTGCGGAGCGGAGTGGTCGGGTCCCGGCCTTCAGCTATCCTAAAATGCTTATAAATCGCCGGAATTCCGGCGAAAACCTACTCCATTCGGTCGATCGAGATGTTAGTCTCGGCAGGGTGAGCCCGACTCAGGCCCACGCCGACTCGGCGGGTCAACACACATCCTCTGCACCGTGATGTACGGAAATGCTTGCTGTCGCAGATCTGGCCAACCACAAACTGCATCATTCTTCGCCTGCTAATCAACGGAGTCCTGGGGATGGCTATGCCAAATCCAAAGAATGACAGGGCTTCTTCCCCATGGGGATGTCGTTAGCTCTCGGGCATCTTTCCCCAGAACCTCGTGAGATGCTGCTCTCCGCAATCTGATTACATGCAATATGATTGGCTAGACCTGTGCCAAGGTTCGCGACGGTCTGCTTCCAGAAAGCTTGGACGTATTGAAAGTATAAAGTGTTCATCAGAGAATGTTTAGACGAGTGAGTTTGTGCTCGGACAAGCCTCTTGCAAGTCTTCAAGTCGCGTCACACACTTGGAAGCTGCAGTGAAGACAGCTGTTCCTTGGCAAGTTCTCTTGACTGTCTTTGTTCAACGAACTGCACCTTCTTCTCCCTCCGCAACACACACCAGCCATGTCCGACTTGGAAAAGCGAACTTCTCGGAGCGGCTCTCAAAGCCAAGTTGAAGATGTGAATAACAACCTCCTGGCCCGGGCCGATGCACCTATCAACTATGACAGTGATGGCATCAAGGGAATTGTGCGCTCGCCTTACGTGCTTGGCGCCGCGTTGCTCGCGTCTTTTGGTGGTTTCTCGTTTGGATATGGTAAGGCCCGGAGTTTGGTTCTTAAGTGCGGGATCGCTTCACGCCTTGCTGACATCCACAAGACCAGGGTGTCATCTCCATCATTCTCGTTATGCTCCAGTTCCACGAGTGGTTTCCCGACACCGCTCCTGGCGGTCCAAGATATGGCTTCTACACCGGGTTCATGACCGGGATGCTCGAGTTTGGAGCCTTCATCGGCTGTCTTTTCCTCCCGTACCTCGCCGATAAAATATCTCGCAAGTGGGCTTTAACCATTGCGACCTTCTTCTTCTGCGTCGGTGCCATCATCCAAACCGCCGCTCACAACTATGGAACGCTCGTCGCGGGCCGCACCATCGGTGGCGTTGGAGTCGGAACTTTGGCAATGGGTGGTGCGCCGCTCTATATCTCAGAGATTGCGCCCCCAAACCTTCGCGGTTCCCTCCTCGTGCTCGAGTCCATCAGCATCGTAATCGGCGCCATTATTGCTTACTGGATCACATTTGCGACAAGACACATGGATGGAGAATGGGCCTTTAGACTACCTTTCGCTCTGCAAATGGCCCCAGCTCTTATGGTCGGTCTCGGAATCCATTTCTTCCCCTTCTCTCCTCGCTGGCTCGCCATGGTGGGCCGCGACGAAGACAGTCTGGGGTCTCTTACGAAGCTGCGCCGTGTTCCCCCAACAGACGAGCGAGTCCAGACTGAGTGGAAGGGGATCCTGTCTGAAGTTCGCTTCCAGCAGGCCATGCTCGCTCGGGAACACCCGAGCTCCAACGCTTTCACGGCAGAGTTGAACCAATGGGCGGACCTCTTCAAGCCCAGGTATTTGAAGCGCACAATTATTGCCCTCGGCATTCCATTTTTCCAGCAGGTAAAGATCCAGGATGGGCACTGGAAGCTCAGCAGATGGCATAGTACTGACACCCATTCCAGTTCAGTGGTATTAACGCGTTTGTGTACTACGCACCAACGTTCTTCGCCGCCCTGGGACAAAAGGGAGACATGCCTCTCATTCTCTCCGGCATGGTCAACATCTGTCAGCTTTTTGCCGGAATTCCCACGTTCCTGTTCCTAGACCAAGTTGGCCGCAGAAAGCTCGCTATCGGTGGTGGTTTTGCAATGGCTGTTCCCCACTTGATCATGGCTGGGGTGTCGGCAAGTTCAACTCGTCGTGGGATGAGCACCCTGCCATGGGTTGGTTCGGTGTCGCCCTCATTTGTAAGTTGGCCTGGGTCTAGGACTGCAAGCTATAATTTACTGACACGTTCTCTAGATATCTACGTTCTTTACTACGCGACTTCGTAAGTCAATCTTAGCGTCTCGACGCACCCAGCCACTGCACGTGCTAACTTGTTGCTCTTTTAGCTACGGCCCTCTTGCCTGGACGCTGCCTGCTGAAGTCTTCCCCAACTCCAAACGCGCCAAGGGTGTTGGAGCTGCAACTGCCATGATCTGGCTGGCCATTTTCATCATCGGTGTTTGCGTACCGGAAATGGTCATCAAACTGGGATGGGACACCTATCTGTTCTTCGGACTGTTCTGTGTCGCTGCGGGCGTCTTTTCCTTCTTCCTGGTGCCCGAAACTGCCCATAAGTCTTTAGAGCAGATTTCTGAGCTGTTTGGTGATAACAGTGTGTTGAGGAGCAGAATATCCGCCGCCGCATCATCGAGGAAGTCTGGACTGACCCCAATCTCGATCACGCACACGGATGATAATTAGCGATTTGATAAGCCAGGTCTAAGTGGCACCAGTAAGATGAAGAACATCCAGTGCAAGTATCTTAGCCTGTTCATGTAGTCATTGTTATGTAAAATAGAGTGATCTTGCTTCCGCGCGCTTCATCTTCATTGCTGCAACAAAGGCGCGCTAAGCAGTGTAGCAAACCACGTAAATACTTCGCTGTTCGTGCGCCTTTACGTTCGGCCAAACGAGTACATTCTGTCCAATCAGGCCCATTAAGCAGACCCTTACTTCAAAGTAGAAGAGCGAAACCGACACTTATCCGTGGCGTTATGCACGGATACGGGCGGAGGGGAAACCCTAACAGTTAACTTAGCACGCTTACCTAGGTCGGAGAACGCGTTAGGTAGGGCGAGTCAGAACATGGATAGGCCGCCAACTAAGCCAGTGCTAGGCCACATGCCGCTACTTTCGCCGAGTAATGTCCCTCTTTATATCCCCTCTGCCGCCCTGTCTCACTGAGCAGTCTATCGGCGAAATGCTACCAACCTGGGCCCATCCTATGCATCCCATCTCCTCCTTCCTATCATCCTTCCCTCCTCCATCTTAGCCATGGTCTGATTGTCCTACTTCGGGACGGGAAGGGATGGCTCCACCACAGCGACGCGAACGAATTGTGCCCTGCGTGAAATGCAGAGGTAAGTAGGATTGCGGGATTGCAGGTTCGATGATTGGTGATTTTCCTTCTTTTTTATCATCGGATATAATGCCGTCTTACACCCCGAGCAAGCCGCGGGATGCGCGGGCTAAAATCTTCAACTTCACCCCTTGTTTTGATTTTTGGTGATGTCAATCGAACGTCGAGAACTGATTTGATCGATTTTCTGGGTCATAGAGAAGCACCTAAAATGTAAGACATAACCATCCTCTTCATCCATCTATCGGACATTGTCCTTGGGTGGGCCTCCACGGTGGTAGTCCCTAAGTATCGTTGGGTCGTATTAACCTGTTTTGGTCTCCAGGCGACGGCGAGATACCATGTTCTCACTGCAAGAAGTCGGAGTCTCGATGTATGCGAGTGAACAACAAATTCAGGTTCAAACGGGTAGTTATGACCGAGAAACGATTTTCCTTCGACGTCGATCAGCCTTGGTTACAGACGACCCCGGACAGTTGTAGGACTGACCCTCTCCCTCTCTAGTCCTTGACACATCTCAGCCCTAACGCAAGCATGGAAACGTACAGTCCAGGCTCGCCCTCTCGCCACTGTCGATGAATCCAAAAAGCCATCAGAAGACACGAATCCGAAACCAAAACATACATCGGCAGCACCGATTTCCGATATCATCTCTCAGGATGAAGAGCCAAATACCCAAGTCGACGATCAGATTCACGACCATATAACTGTCTCAGCGGAATTACTTCAGTCCATCTCACAAAGAGAACACAGTAATCCATCTGTCGTGATGGCTTCAACCATCTGTGGCCTCACTATCCGTCACGTGACCTCGGTTACATAATCACCGAGGCCCACACTCGCTCGCATCACCTATTTCAGAGCGAGCGCAACATACCTCGAAAGGTACCCACTGTTAGTAATTATTAAGGTTATAGAGGGCTACGGCCCACTGCACTATCATCTCTCAACATCAGCCCATACGAGCTGAATTCCACGACCATGGCGGTCTCCCTAGACGTAGGGCCATCGATCACGGTTCACGGGGACGCCGGTATAACTCGGCGGTCGGGACGAGTCCGGAAGCCGACTGTAAAGGTCAGAGTGTTGAGCAGGTTAACCACCAGGACAACTCCGAGCTTAAAGACGAGATCAATAAGCTTTCGAATCTTGTCCAGGACCTCCTACGTCGGGACGCCGAGAGGGAATAGCTTTTGAAAGACTGTTTGACGAAGATCGAATCCTTGGAGAGAGAGCTTTAGGAGGAGAAACAGCGTTTAAACTGGCATCAACGTGGTCTAATAAGGTCTATGTACGCTATTGGCACAGGGCCTAGCGAGACTGACCTGAGTTCCCAGGGGCATCCCTCGCACACAACCCAGAACCAGCCGCCCCTAGTCCGTTCATACGCGGCGGCGGCGAGCCAGCCACTGTCCAGAAGACAGGATGAACCAACGCCAGCCAAATAAGCCGTAAAACAAGCTACAAACCGGGCGGCCTTAAAGGATCTATGCGTCTTTGCGCGTCTATTGCCTGAAAGCCCGCTTCGGAACGAGAAAGCCTACGATATATACATCTTGGTTCGGGAAAGGCTAAGTCCCCAAGCCCGAGAAGCCCTCAAGGGGATCGACTATGTTAAGATAGGATTAGTACTCCTACTTTCGTTAATGGATGGTGTAGAAGTCCTGCTAGAGAATAGAGAATAGATCGCTGCCCTTCTCCAAGCGCAAGCGATCGAGCAACGTAATACCTAGATCCGAGCCTATATTACAAACGTCCCTTATACTAGGTATTATCTAGTAACCAATACTGAGCTGGAAATCACGACCGAGGAGCTCCTTAAAGAGATCTAGGTCTCGACGAAACTTAAGCCTGAAAAAGTACACTTCTCTAGGAAGGACGAAGTCGAAAGGCTAGGCACGGTGACAGCCTAGTTCAAGGCGGAAGCTATAAGGCAACTACCAAGACGCCTCCGTTTAATAGGGGCCAGCGTTTTTATAAACCTGCAGTTCCCAAAGGAGAAGAGGTCTCCTTAATGTCTCCGCTGCGGCGGTTTTCACAGCGAACGACCGTGCACCAGAAGAAAGAGATGCCTCAAGTGCAGCTCTCCTTCCCACACAACTGATCAACACCGGGCACCCTGCGGCGGCACTGAGGGTCACGATGGCTGCGACTACCCCTTTAAATGCCCGTCGTATAACGGGCCTCACGCCGCCTTCGATGCGACTTACCCTATCCAACCTAAAGTGATGAAGGGGGTAGTCCAGAGGAGGGATAAGCTCAGCTACGGCCATCCGAGCTGAGGGAGAAAGATTATAGAGAAATGCGACCCAGTTGTCGCATCGACATTCCCGTAAAGAAGAATAAGCGATGGACTATACCCCGGCGAATGAGATATAAAAGAAGAATATAGCCCTTTAAAACCCTGTAAATTATGTAAGCGAATGTGGGCAGGCGGGTACCCGCCTACGAAACAGTACTGAACCTGGCTTACGTAGCCTAGATCGATATACTCTTAATATAAGAGCCGTCTATCCGTTCGGAAGAGAGGAGGCTCATAAGACACCACCTAGGTTTTAAGACTTTCACCCTAGTAGATAACTGGACCGAAGACCGTCCCAGGGTACTTACCTACCTCCGCAGAGGAACTAGGGTACGAGGCGTATAAATACGGCCTCTACCCGATCCGTCCACAGACCTGCTCTTCTTACGACTCCTCTTAGGAACGAAGGAGGTCCTTATAATCATTAACGTATACAACGCCCCTCGTGGCTCTCTACGATCTGGCCAGGCTCTCAGGAACATCCTAGCGGCCTAGTAACCCAAACCTGAGGATCGAGTACTGATTACGGGGGATTTTAACTTACACCATTGGACGTGGCAGCCCGAGGCCACGAGTTCCCCGGACGCTGAAAACCTAGTAGAATGGGCAGAAGCCGCTAGCCTTGTCCTAATGTCACCTATAGGTGAACCCACGCACAAAGGCGGCAACACCCTAGATTTATGCTGGGCGTCCAGCAACCTCCATGGGGCTTCCACCAGCATAGAAACGTCACTACACACGACATCAGACCACGAATCTCTGCTTACCCGGGTCCCCTTAGCCCTGATCGATTCACCCAGCCAGACCCCGGGAAGGTTTCGGCTCGACACGATGGACGAGGAGCTTTTCCTCGGCATCATTAAACGCAACTTACAACCCATGCGCCGCACTACAAGCAACATCCAAGACCCACAGTCTTTAGATCTCCTAGCACAATAGCTTACGGACTATCTTATTAAAGCACTTACGGCTTCCATAAAGCGCACGCTCGGGAAAGGTACAGGGAGACTATACTAGAGCGAGAGCTACATACGTAAATACCGAGCCTATACGAGTAAGCGAACGATATTAGCAAGACTCCGCGCAGCCGGAGTGAACTGCCAATGGGAAGAAGAGGAGGTCGAAGCTCTAAAACAGGACTTCCTTTACGAGTTTAAACGCTGCAAGGATGCCTTTTAGAAAGATAAGATCTCCTCAGCCTCCTTAAGTAAAGATATATTTGAAATAGTCGGTTAGCATAAAGCCATAGGATCTTTTCAGACCCCGCCACTCCGAAATATAGAATACCAAGACACGCTTGTCTTATAACTAAAAGAGAAGCGCGACTTATTTACCCGCGTCCTCCTTAGAAACGCTGCAATCTCCGAGGACATACCAATAGAAAGCCCAGTCCTACAAAGGCAAGCTACGCTTCCTTTCCCGTAGGTTACGAAGGACGAGGTACGGTCTTCGGTTCTCACCGCGGGAAACACGACTCCTGGGACCGACGGAATTATTACGACTACTTTGAAAATAGCATGGCTAGTTATTGAGGATATTGTCCTCTTACTTTATAGCGGGTGTATACGCGAGGGTTGGTATCCTACTTGTTTTAAAGAAGTAACTCTCGTGATCCTAGCAAAACCGGGAAAAAGAGATAAGATACTCCCGCGCTCCTATAGGCTAATTGCGCTCTTGGCCGTCCTCGGAAAAGGCTTAGAGAGACTTATCGCCAGACGACTTGCCTGGATCGTAGTTAAATATCGTGTTCTGCACGATTAATAGTTTGGAGTACTCCCTCTTTGCTCTTGTAGCGACCTTATCGTAGCGGCTATCCACGATATTGAGTGCGCCTGGCAAAGAGGCCTCGTTATTTTTATACTTATGCTCGATATAAAAGGGGCTTTCGACGCCGTGCTCCTAGGACGACTGGTCCGATGCCTCTGCGAATAAGGATGGCCGGAGAACCTTGTACGCTGGGTCTTAAGTTTTGTTACCGGAAGGATAGCAAGAATAAGGCTTGATGGGGAGGTAGGAGACGTCTTCGGTCTCGAATGCGGACTATTATAAGGCTTACCCGTGTCTCCTATTCTATTCATGCTCTATATCGAACCTCTTTTTAAGCTAGGCATAGCTCGCCTAGGAAGGAAGCGATCTCGTTTTGGCTATGCCGATGACGTCGCTATCTTAGTAAGCTTAACATTACTAGAGAATAACTATGACATCCTAACTAAGGAATGGAAAGAAACCTTAGGATGGGGCGCGATAGAAGGAATTACTTTTGACCTCGATAAGTCCGAACTGATCCACTTCATTAAGAAACGAAAAGACGGAAACCTATTAATCATAGTAGGTTTGCCGGATAGGAGGTATTATATAGTTTAGGCTATTAAAGAAGGCTCTTCTTTATGCTGGCTCGGCGTTTACTTCGACCGTAAACTTATATTTAAGAGTTACGTAAGAAACCTCTCTATAAAAGCATGCTAAGTAGTTAATAGACTATAGGGACTAGGGAATACTGTCTGGGGCGCGCCTGCGTACTTACTTCGTCGAGCGATCACCTCTTGTGTATTACCTACTTAGTACTATGCATCTAAAGTATGGTGGCCCGGTAAGAGCCGGATAAAGAATGGACGTATTATCTTAAACGGGGTTGGTAGTCTGCTATACTAACTGGACGCGATATAAACCAAAGCCATTAGAGCGATGGTCCCCGTATACAGAACTACGCCTATACCGATCCTATAGCGCGAGGCGGCTCTACCCCTAGCAGAGGTAATACTGGATGCGAAGCTCTATATAGCGTCCACTAGAATCCATCGTCTGGACGAGCGATACCCTCTCCGAACGAGACTCAGGGACAAATCAGGACCAGACTTACGGCTACGACGAATAGCAAGCCTCGTAAGCAAAAATACCGAATACATCGATCCGATAGAACTCCCCCCTTGGGAGCAACTAGCGGACTGGCAGACAGCCCTCGCCAGGGTCGGCTACGAACCTAATAAGACCAAAGAAGAACAGGCCCTCTTCTTTGCAGGCAGGATGGCAACTTTCTCCAAGCGGGACATTGTTGTCTACACTGACGGGTCCCAGATGTCGGACGGCAGCAGCACCTCCGCCGGAGCAGGCTGGGTAGGGTACCAAGCTACACGGCAGATCTTCCGCGGATCCGAACCACTCGGCTCCCAAACTGAGGTGTATGACGCGGAGGCACATGCTGCGTATCACGGCCTAATAGAAGCCACCCGGGCTCCTACGGCTCGTATAGCAGATAACGTCCACATCTACCTCGACAACCTCGCAGTCGCGGCTAGACTATACTCCCAGAGCACAGGAAGCAGCCAGGCTAGATTTAGGGCCTTCAATAGGCTCTCTTCCTCCTGGACTCGGAGACAAAGAGAGAGCTGGACAACCCCCGGCAGGGTTTATATTTGGTGGTGCCCTGGGCACACGGGAGTACCAGGAAATGAAGAAGCGGATGCTCTAGCCAAGGAAGCCTGCAAACTAATCCCAAAATCACAACCACAGCCCTCATTAGCGCACCTAGAAAGGCAAGCTAAAGCAGCTGCCTTCCAAGCCTTTGCCAGAAAATGGCTGTCCCAATGCCCTCGGCAATAT